GGGGATATTTCAGATTGCTGTTATTTTCATTCCACAGCACTCCTTCAGCCCAAAGATTGAGCCCACAAGAAACCTGCACCAACAGCCAGCATGCAGACTAGGGGAAAGAAAAGCTCTTTCAAGAGAGAAAAGCAGGAGGCCGAGAAAGCAAAAGAGAAGTGGCTGGAGGCAGAGCTGTGGCGCCTTACGTGATCTGCTCTACTTCTCCCTTTCCACCCCGCAGAGTGCAATTTAAAGCACAAAAAGTCTCCTAAACTCCTCTGCCAGAAGTTTGTGCCTAGCAGAGGAAGTTTGGGCTCTCAAAGATGCTTCACACACAAGTATGAAGGGATCCTGGCAGCATCGGGCGGGGGGGGAGGGGGCCCCCCCCCCCCAAACCCGGTAGGGTTTGGGCCAGGCTGGGGGGGGGGGGGGGAAAGGGGGGGCAAACTGGATGCACCCCCAGACTGGATGGGAAGACATTTCCCAAATTCTTTGGCAAGAGGAAAGCAGGTGCCCCCCAAAATCCTTTCTCTCTTGGAGTGGACAAAGGGGGGGGGGGGGGCAGGGGGGGGTTTGGGGGGGCGGGGGGGGGGGGGGGGGGGGGGGCGATCAGCATGGACGCCTCTGGAGGAAGGAGAGCCTTCCTCCTCCTCCTCCTCCTCACCCCTATCGCTCCCCACCTGAAGAAGACCGCCTCTCGCGCCCTCCCGGCCGTGGCTGATGGGATTTGGAGTCCAGGCAGCGGAAGGCGCCCGGGGTGGGAAGGGAGGTTCTGAAGGCAGGCTCCTCCGCGAAGGGACGGGAAGGAGAGCTCCGGGGTTACCTGTCAGGCCTCCTCAAGGCAGGCTCAGCAGCCGCAGCAGCCAGTGGACGAAGCCCCCGAACTTCCATGCAGGGGGCGGCCTGACCCCTGTGCCAGGGCAGGGGCCCCTCCAGGAGGTGAGAGAGTGGCTGGAAGGCCGCCTGAGCCGCTCGCCAGGCTGCGCAGCACCGCCCGGCCCGGCTGGGACCTGAGACCTCGGCGGCCCCCTCCTCTGTTTATCCTTTCCAGCTGTCTCGGGCTCAGCCAAAGCCCCCAACGCCGCCTCCCCCTCCTTTCCTCCCTCCCTCCCCTTTCTCCACCGTTGCGCCCGGCAGTGCGCCTGCGCGACGCTAACTGCGCCACCAGCCCTCTATCTCAGCGCGGGCCCTTCCGCCGCGCGAGCGGCGCAGACACGCTCCGGGAATAAGCAACCCACCCTCTTTAACTCTCCACGTCTCATTGGCCGGGAAACGAGTGACAGCTATCTCGCCCAAAGGGAACCCGCCAATTGGCGGGCGGCCCGGACCAATCTACGTAGTTAGAGTAAGAGAAAGAGGGAGACGACACAGGGAACACAAGGGGGCGGGGTTATTACGGGTGGAGGGGATGCTGGGAGTTGAAGTTTTCAAAGGGGCAATGGCCTCATTTGGCAAATTAGAGCCGTTTCTTGAACTTTTTGAACTCGGGACCCCTTCGTACTTTTTAAAAATTTGGAGAACCCCTAAGAACTTCAGTTTGTATGGGTTATAACTTATATTTATCGATGTTTACTATATTAAAAATTAAAATTGATGCTGTCATAGAACATTTATTGAATCATGTAAAAAGAACAATCATTATTGTAAACATTCACTTAATTTTTAAAAGTTAATAAAAATACTATTATTTTAAGAAATAAAAATAATTCAAATATGTTCAATATCTGGCAGATAATTTTGATTTTGTGGACCTCTTAAGATCTTTGGAGATCGCCAGATGTCCTTGTATTACACACTATTGGAAGTTAGGAAGGCTACTATTGTTTTTGTGGTGCTGGGGGTGTCCCTTACGCTGTATATGGTGCTTCCTGGGAAATTATTTCCTAATATCCATGCACAGAATTACAAAGTATCAGACAGTGATTTTTTTAAATGGAATATTGCCCAGGAGAGGGATACAGAGAAGCGGTTGCTTTAGAAATATGGAAAATTACACCCTTAAGATATAGGGATCCTTGCCATGATCCAAGCAAATGCCCAGTTAAACATAGAAGACCTGTCTGGGCAAACATATGATATGGGATTTCTATCACATCATTCTCAGATTAAACCAGGCTGGGGTGGGGGAGCTAATAACCCTGCAAAGGTGGGTTGTTTCAACATAGCTCATTGAACAAATCCCAGTTTTCTGAACAAACCCCAGTTCACGCACTACACTACACCAGTGTTTCTTAACCTCAGCAACATTTAAGATCTGCAGTATGAATTCTGGGTGCAAATTCATACATGATGCAAAAAATATTGTAGACTAATATTATAATGAAACCAGAATTATTTTTATTGGTTACTTTATGGATGCTGAACTAGAAAAGAAATGCAGGAAACTATTATTGCACAGTATATGGTAACTGCAGCAAGATCATTGTATGCACAAAAATGAGTTCCCGTTCCACTAACTTCCACGGTTGACCTTTGGAGAAACTGAATGTCTTTCTCTGCTGGCAGGTAAAAGCATCTCAGACTGTAACCTGAATGCACCATTTTTGAAGATAACCTTTTCTGTATACGGAAGTACATCTTACTTGGAGACTTTGGAGCTTTAGCAGTTTAGTTCCTCTGTTAAAAATTTTTTTTCTCTCCACATGGAGGCAGCCTCTGCAGAATGTTCCTTATTAGTTCTACCTCTCTCCGGTTTTGCAAACTGTTACCTTTATAGCCCTGTGAAAAATGCAGCCAGGGTCCGAGTTGCAGTGATATGGCTGCTGCACTGTAGAATGTTGCAATGTCCATAGTTTTATCATTTTTCAGAGTTATTGGTTAGTTAGTCTTTGCATGTCTTGTGGGCAGTTTATACTGAATTTTTAAATTCATTTTCTCACTGTTCTGAAAGTTGAGAACTCACTACGGTTCAAGGAAGGATGCGTAAAAGTGTTTTTTAGAGACCAACCACATATGAAACAAATGCCTAATTGCAACACATATCGGTCTCTTTCAAATTTACTAATAGTATAGGTGAGCGGAGGCAATTGTTGGGGCTGCAACATGTAGGAAGAGAGGTTGTGAACTTAATGACATTGCATTCCACCTTAAGGTTCAGAGAACCTTGAAGAAGAAAAAATGCAATTGCTACTATTTTCTTTTGTGGTCAATAAAAGCTTGCCCAATCCTGATGGAAACATTAGCCAACCTCAGCTGATTTTGATAGTACAATCTCTCATGAATACTTATCCTTGTAACACTATTAATGCCTTGCTTTGCATAAGGAAAGAAAAAAAAAGATACTGTAGTGCCTTCTTAGGAGCTTACAAAGCACATCAGATAGATGATTCTCAGCAACTGACCATTCAGCTGACTCTGAGCTTGGAGAAGACCCTCATCTTCTGTTTTGTAACAATACCCCACATCCTATCATACTTTTCATAATTTGTTATATAATGATTTGAGTTAGAAACGTTGTGTAAATATATTTGCAATAATGCTACAATACTTATAGTGTCCAGGGATCATGGAATCATTATTTGCAACTTTCCCAGCCAGTTTCCAACAAGCAAAGTCAGGGAAGGGGTGGGAGACACATCTGGAATTGCTTAATGATGCATGATTCACTTAACAACTGCAGGGATTCGCTTAATAACTCTGGCAAAAAAAGGACTTCACAACTGGCTCATTTAGCAACAGAAATTCCGGTCTCAATTGTGCTAAAAAATGGAGGACTATCTAGTTAGTCCTCAACTTACAACCACAATTGAGCCCAAAATTTCTTTCACCAAGTGAAACAGTTGTTAAGTGTGCCAAAACCACGGGAATTATGCAGTGTTGGTTTGACCTTTGACCATGCCAATATGATGTACCCAATAAAGAAGTTTTTTTTTAAGGAAGCCAAGGCCTGAGTCTTGAGTTGATTGGGAGCATTACTCGGAACATGACAGGTAGTCCTCGACTTACAGCAATTCGTTTAGTGACCATGCCAGTTGCCTGCAATTTGGCAGTTCACATCTCACCTCAGGCTCAAGGCTGACTCAGCCTTCCATCCTTCTGAAGTTGGTAAAGTGAGGACCCAGATTGTTGGGGGCAATACGTTGATTCTGTAAACTGCTTAGGGAGGGCTGTAAAGCACTGTGAAGCGGTATCTCAAACTTGACAGCTTTAAGACTTGTGGACTTCAACTCCCAGAATTCCTCCTCCAGTCATGTTAGCTCAGGAATTATGGGAGTTGAAGTCCACGAGTCTTAAACTTGCCAAGTTTGAAGACCCTTGCGGTATACAATGAATGTATTTTTACAATGATAATGATCTATCACTATTATATGTACACTGACAGCTTATGCACCCGAGACAAATTCCTTGTGTGTCTAATCACACTTGGCCAATAAAGAATTCTAATAAGTCTAAGTGCTACTGCTATAAGTCAGTTTTCTAGTGCTGTTGTAACTTGGAACGGTCACTAAACGAATGGTTGTAAGTCGAGTACTATCTGTATCAGACTTCTCCACTACCCCAGCCCAACTGCTCCCTTCTAGAGACTATGAAGAGGCCTTCTCCCCCGTCCTGGTCGTCGTCTGGATATCAACATTTCAGATTCGGTAGCTCCACTTAAGACGCGCTGAGGTGATTTCTCTTTGCCAGGCGGCCGGAGTGACCCGTCCGGCGCCCGCTATCGCGGCTTACTGCTCCCCCAACGCTTTTCAGCTGCCCTTGAAAGCGGCTGGCTAGAACGGGCGGTCTAAAAGCCTGGTGGGCCGAGACGTCTCCAGGCAGGCCGGGGACGTGGCTCCTCCGTCTTCCTTCGCTTGTCCGGTGGCTTGGCTGGCACCCAGCCCTCCTGGCCGGTTGCGACGCGGAGGCTCCCGTGTAGTGCTGCTTCCAGCCGGCGGAGGCTGCTGTGGCGGCGGAGGGAGGGAGGGAGGCGCGGCGTGGCGTCGTCGGCGCCCTCCTCTCCTCCTCTCCGCTTCTCCCCGCGGTGTCCTTGTCTCGGCAGAGATCAGGCAAAGGCAGCGGGCGGGGGGGAGAGAGAGGGAAAAAGCGTCCTCCGGCCGCGCGTTGGGAGCCACGGGGGAGGAGCAGGCCGGGCCGGGCGGAGCTGCCCCGCTGCGGCGCACGAGGATCCGGAACAAGCTCAGCTTCCTTCTTCCCAAGCTCTGGGGAGCCCAAGCCCTCCGTGCCTGCCGCCTCCTCCTCCTCCTCCTCCTCCTCCTGCTGCTGCTGCTGGCCTGTCAGCTGCTCCTGGAGAAAGAAGCCATCCCGCCCGCGAGGCGTCTTCTCCTGCAGCCGTGGGAAGCGGCCTGACTGCGGTTGCCTGCTTTTTCTTCTCTGCCTCTTTGGCTGTCCGGTTGCTCGCTCGTCCTCCTGCCCTTTCTTCCCTTCCTCCCCACCCGGCCGCCGCTGCCCCCTTCTCCTGGCCGGGTCTTCTGCTGCTGTTGCTGGGGGGGGGGGGTCGCTCTCCAGCTCCCAGCCAAACCCCCTGCGAACTGCCCTGCTCAGCTGTCCTTGGAGGTGAGAGGTCCGTCCCAAGTTCAAGGCGCTCGCCTCTGGAAGGCGCATTGGGGCACCGGCTGGAGGATCGGCTGCCTCGCGTTGCCTTGGCAGGTGAGGGGCGGTTTGGCCGGCTGAGCGCCCTGGGCTCTGAACTCTCGTCCCCCTCGCCCTGCAGAGACGGTCCCTAGGAAGGGAGGCGCAGCCGGGCGCGCCGTCCTAAGCCGGCCCTTTCCTATGATGAGCGCTTCGCCCGGTCGAGCGCCGCTTCGGGTGGATTTCTCCGGGCTCCGTTTCGTCGGTGGCCTCCATTGATTCCGCAGACCCTCCCCCTCCTCCAATGAAGCCTTGACCGCCTAGGCAGAGTCGTCGGAAATCCACACCCCTCTTGGCCGCCTCCCGCTTTCCCCGGGAACGAGAGGAGCACCATGCCGGCGCAATGCCTGGGGACGGGGAGGCCCCGCTGCTCCTTCCGCGCGTTGCCTTTCCTCTTCGGCGCAGCTGCCCTGCTGGGCCTGCTGCCGGTGCTTCAGAGCTCCGGCTCGAATACTCCCACGGAGATCACTCGGCAGCCCAGCTTGGTGACCGAGGGCATCACCGCCTCTCCGCCGGTTCCCGCCGAGAGCCCCCCCGACGCCGGACACCCCAAGAATGTTTCCACCAACGAGCACGGCAAGGAGCGGAAAGTTTTCCCGGTCCTGGCCCTTCAATACAAAGAGGTGCACCTGCCCTTCGAGATCACGCTCTGGATCCTGCTGGCCTGCCTGATGAAACTAGGTAGGTTGGTTCTGGGTGCCCACCGGCCTCTGTGGGTTGGTGTGTGTGTGTGTGTGTGAGTAAGAGACACAAAAGTTAAGGCGTGTAGGAAAAGAACTTCGTTTGCTCCAAGCTCTTCTTCCCAGGATTCCCTTTCTTAAATGCCTTCCTTTCTGTAGAGCCCGACAGAAAAGCGGCCCCCTTTCCTCAGGGAAAGGTGATACAGGTAGCCCTCAATTCACAGTCATTCATTTAGTGACCATTGGAAGTTACAGTGGCAGTGAAAAAAGTGACTTATGACCAGTCCTCTCACTTAACAACTGTTCCAGCCTTCCCACGGTCATGTGATCAAAATTCAGGGGTTTGGCATGGTTGCGGAATGGGGTGTGTGTGTGTGTGTCATGGGATTGCCATTTGCGACTGGCTGGCTTCGGACCAGCAAAGTTAATGAGGGAACTTAGATTTGCTTAATGACTGCACGATTCACTTAACAACTGCCATATTTGCTTAATAATCCTGGCAAAAAAGGTTGTAAAATTGGGAGCAACTCACTTAACAACTGCCTTGCTTCCTGACACAAATTCCAGATTGAGGACTACCTGGATGTTCCTCCAGAGATGCTATGTAGCCATATGATGCACATGGGTGCCCAGGAAATTACGGAAGGCAGCTTCCAACAATTTATGAGCCCTGGTGGCTCAGTGGTTAGAATGCAGTATTGCAAGCTATCTCTACCCACAACCTGGAGTTTGATCCTCAGGGGCTCAGGATTGACTCAGCCTTCCATCCTTCTGAGATTGGTAAAATGAGGACCCAGATTGTTGGGGGCAATAGGCTGATTCTTTAAAACACTTAGAGAGGGCTGTAAAAGGATGATGAAGTGGCATATACATCTAAGTGTTATTGCTAGAGAAGAGGTGCAAGGATGAACAAAAAGGCAAGTCAATGTGCTTTTGTCTCTTGGCATGTGCTCTGTATTACCTGACTCACAGCATTCTTGAGGGTCAGAAGCCACCCTAGGAATGGTCAAATAAATCATGGTGCAATTATGATGCCCTCTGATGCACATAAAGGACAGGCAGAGTTTTGACTGCACCACCATCGTGACCTTCTATGTGTACAAAAAGTGTATTTCTGGAATGATACCTTGTTCGTTCAGGTTAATCTTGTAGCTAAGTGTATTATGTGCCAAACAGCATATATAGAGGTTATTCTGGTTTATTTTTGGAAATTTAAGTGGATCAGGAAGGAGACTGGTGAGCATGGGCTAAATTGTATTCTTCCACCATCTGTGTGTGATCTCCACTGGGACACAACGGAGTCTGCAGGAAAAAAAAAAGTGTGTGTGTTTTTCCTTAGCAGTCAAGGTATATATTTAAAATAGGTGCCCCTCCCTATAGTTATGATCTCTTTCTCCAAACAGACATCCTGCTGGCTTCTTGGCTTTGTCCATGCTAACTGGATAATATTGGTGTCAGAATGCAACACACCTGGAAGACACCTGGAGGAAAGGTTGGCCTATTAGAATAGCTGGGCAGCCTTTTGTTGAGAACCCTCCAATACAAACCTGTGGAGAACCAGGAATGTGAATTCTAGATCTTGCTTTCTTGTCTGCCTTAGATCTTCATTTGACATCTTGGTTGACTAGGTTTTTTTTTTCATTGGAGGTTTCTGTAAGCAGTACTTCCAAAAACGACAGCTCTATTGCAGATACTTTGCCTGCAGAAGGTCCCATGTTTAATATCTGACATGACTAGCAGAGTCTGCTGCCCAAAATTCTGAAGTTGCTATGCTGATTCTGGCTTGACAGGCCAGTGGTCTAATATAATACAAAAACTTCCTGTGTTCCCGAGAAACATATCAGGAATATTTCTGACCAGGTTTCTTTTAGGCAAGTAATATCCTGAACTTAGGCAAGAGAGGACACTGATGAGATTTAGGAAAAAAACATGTTCCATTGTCACACTTCCTTTATATTTGGCTTCTGAAGTTAGGTGAAATAGCTTTACTGGCTTTTCTTGATAGAGCAATAATATTTATACATCAAGTCACAGAAAGCCTATTGGATTTGGGAAAAGAACAGTACAACTGGTATAGAGAAATTCCCTTTTTCACACTCCATCAAAACTTGCCTTATAAATGGAAAACGTGTGCCAATTTGAGTAGGCCACAAGCTGATCTTTGAAGATCTTGTTTATTACTTTCATGGAGGGCCTGTTTTGTATATCCTGGAATCTCATACATTGTTTTTTCTGTTTTAGACTGGACAGTAATTAATTAGAAGGCATACTTGCTAAAACAGATTGTGGTATTTAAGCCTGAGAGGGATAACTCTTGTGCGCAGTATTTTTGTTTAATAAGGAGGAAGGCAGGTTCTTTCTCCTGGATGAGAACACTGCAGATTACTTCTGCTGTATTATTTTTGCACATTCCTGTTCACTGACCCATCCGCAACAAAATTAAGGAACTGGACTGTTGTGGGGAAGTGCTGTTGTGCAAGCAAGAAGAAACATTGTGGAAGAAGACAATGGCTTGTAACAAACTTTCTATTCCTAAATGGAGCCTAGCAGGGAAGTCTCCCCTGTGGATTTATGGCTAGTTACTTTGTAAAGGGCCTCCTTCAAATATTTATTTTTAAAGGGGAGTTTAATGTGGGAGGAAGGAAACAAGGAAACAAAATTGTGTTTGGCCTGGTCAGATGTTAAGGAGACAGTTGAAATCTCTGCAGCTGAACTCTGCAAAGACTGAAATGAACCTGCCGCTTGTAAAGGAACGGTGTTATTAGGGAATCTGGCAATGCAGTAGTTGCTTTACAAGCAAAGAGCCCTGTTTAATTCACAGTATTTCTGGATAGAACTGGGAAAAGAAAAACACTCCTCTGTGAAACCCCAGAATGCAGCTGCTACCTGTCCATGTGCAGGAAATTCCTTTTTATTTCAAGTTGGGGTCTTTCCATTCATTGGAAATTCATACCATCTTCTTGTAATAGCCCTTTAAATCATAATAACTAGGTTTGCCTATCCTTCTAAGCCACTGTTTCTCAACCTTTAAGATTAACCCTTTAAGCGTGGACTTCAACTCCCAGAATTGCTAGGGAATTCCAGAAGTTGAAATATGTACATTTTAAATTTGCCATTTTGTCACATGCTTGGGTCAGAGAAACTACCGCTAAATGTATGCTGCAGGGTATTCTTTGGCCAGAATTAGCAGGCAGGAAGAAACCAAGGAAAGATGTTTCGTGGGAATGGAATGGGACAACTTGCTGCAGCCAACTCCTGAGGTGTCATTCAGCAGGTTCTGACCAGTTCTGGAGAACCAGTAGCGGAAATTTTGAGTAGTTTGGAGAACCAGCAAATCCCACCTCTGACTGGCCCCGCCCCCATCTATTCTCTGTCTCCCGAGTCCCAGATGATTGGCTGGGTCTTCTTTTTTTTAACGAATGTATCTTTTCTTTATGTATACTGAGAGTATTTACACCAAGACAAATTCCTTGTGTGTCCAATCACACTTGGCCAATAAAGTATTCTATTCTATTCTATTCTATTTTGTGCCCTGCACAGGAGAATGGAGCTGGGAAGCAGGTTAGTGGGGTGTGGAGGGAATGGGGATTTTGCAGTAACCTTCCCCTGCCACGCCCACCAAGCCACCTCCACCAAGCTTCACCACATCCACCAAGCCACAGAACCAGTAGTAACAAATTTTTTGAATCCCACCACTGGCCAACTTGCTACAGCCAGCTTACCTTGGGACAGCTCTCTCGGGGACAATTCAACAATTCAAGTTCATTATTTAAAATAATGAAAACAGTATTTTAATTTTTGTCATTCATATTTCATTCTGTCCCTCCTTCGACATCCTTTCTTCAATGATTCTATTCCACTATTTCTTCGATATAAGTGTAACTCTTGTCCCATGGCGAGCTGGCCATAGCGAGTTGGCTGCAGCAAGTTTGCTGCAATGAGTTGGCCGTGGTGAGTTGGGGAACTATAGGCAGGTATGGGGTGGTTGTACAAATGATGTGATGTACATAATTGCAGCAGACATCCTGAGGTAATAATCACATCATTTGCACAAGAGGCACCTGTTGACATCATAGTTTGTTATGGACATTATTGGTGGGGACACTCAGATTTATACACACACACACACACACACACACACAAAACATTTTGAATACAGTGTATTGTCAGGGTATATCATTTATAGAAAAGCAAAGAAAGAACAGAAAGGAATATTAACAGATACTAATAACAATAGTAATAGTGTAACAGAATAGTTTTAACTAGAGCTCTCTTTATAATAGCTTATTTGTAATTCTGTTGGTTATATTGGCATATTTATAATTATTAACCATCTTTATTCATAAGCAATTTTCTTCATCTAATGCCTACTTCTTATCTCTAACCACTCGTAAAATCTATTCCATGTTAAGTAGTATTCTATATCTTCTTTGTCCTTTATTTTTAATGTCAATCTATTAATCTCTGCACAGTCTAATATTTTACATCCTCACCTAATGGAGTGTTCTCATTTTTCCAGTATTGTGCAAATACAATCCTCGCTGCTGTCAATTCATGCAAAACCATATATATAGTCCCTTTATCATAGCCCTCCAGCATTATACTCAACAAAAATATTTCTCGTTTCAGATCTATATGTTGCTTGATCATAGTTTCCAACCATGTATGTATTTTCGTTCCAATTTTTTCTTGCTTTCACTCAGATTTCCAATATGCACATCATGCTAACTAAGTTTTGTTGACCAAGTCAACTGGTGAGAAAATCCACTATCATTTATTAAGTCAACTACAGTACAAATTGGCGAATATGAACACAATATTAATTTGGTTTGTGTTTGCTGGGGAATTTTGTGGTTGGAGTCCACACGTCTTAAAGTGGCTGAGATTAAGAAATACTGCTCTGAGTTGAAGCCTAAGAATCCACTTCATTGTACACTCCTCAAAAAAATAAAGGGAAACTTAAACAACACAATGTAACTCCAAGTCAATCACACTTCTGTG